ACTGCCTCAATCCTTCAAAATTTGCCAACAAACACTGTTAATAGGTTGAGGCAGAGCTAGTGACATCCTGGAGGTTTTCAAGTATAATCTACATGTACATGTACATGTAGGCCTAAATTTATGCACAGCTGAGTGTAAACAACACAAGGTCCGGCCTAAAACCTTGACACAGTGCATACTTGAAAATCAAAATCACAATTTTGGTGTATACATAGCTTCAACGCTGTAAAATCCTCCATTTTGTAAAGAACATTTTGGTGGATTTGGGAAGGTTAGGGTTAAACATGAACTGGGCTCGCAGTACGCTTTATTTATGATGTGGATGCTGTGAACGCATTATGTAATCATGCATGCACAAGTTTAGGTATTGAAGATTATATTGATCAATGGGTTATATAATTTCTTAAATATTGAGAGAGAACAGTTCAAATTGTGGCAAAATAAATATTGCAGGATTTTAAGTTACATGACATAGTTACCTATATGGTGAATTTGAGCAATTTCACATCAGTGAGTTTGAGAAATTGCTCCTCAATTTTTTCCCCCATGTTTTGGGGGAATGTTTATTTCCATTAGACTCCATCGCAGTACAGTGTGTGGCAGATGGAGTCCATATATGGGCTAGTTGTTTACTTGATCAACGTCATTAGATAAAAAAAAAAGTATTATTTTTTTCTTTTTGAACTGGTTGTGAACCGCATGAACTGATCCTGAACTTGCATGGTCATTCATCATGGCTTACACTGCAAAGAAATCCACTGCTCGAACTAATCCTTGCATTCCTTTAGCACACAATGATATCAAAACCAGTAGAACTATATTCCAACTTTAGAATATGATGAATACCATAACAGATTCACTCTCACAATCGGAACACTCCTGTGGAACGTTTCCCAATCTCCCAAGCCCTCGCTCGTCTTTGTGTAACTTTTTATTGCGATATTTTATGACCAGGACCTGCATCCACAAATATATTTTGCACTCTTTGAATCGGAGGAGATATCATTAGAAAATCTTTGACCCGAAACTTGTTGGGTATTAACTCAAAGACCCACGCTGCTCTCTGTGTGAAAATTTTACTTTGTTTCATTTGTACTCTAGTATAGTTAGTGTGCCAATTGCAATGGCGCGGTGGAAAATAGCTAATTGTTTCACACAATGTGTGTTGGCACTAACTGATTGGTTGCTTCTCTGTAGTGTCGTACACAATGGTATCTGCGTGTCATTTATGAACACCTGGTATGTTGCATTGGCTAGCATCTCCAACACGGTCCACTAGCACTCTCTCATTGGCTACTTACGTTATATGATGTCAGACATTCTGCGTGAGAGCTATTTATGTGCACTGTCGGCGAGATAGCCATACTTTTTGTTTGATGTACACAATTTTGTATCGTACAATTTCTTTTTAAAATAAGTTTACAATTGAAAAAACCATTCTTTGGGTTTTCCTATTATTTCCCCTTCCCCGGCCCTCCCCCCGAAAAAAATATTAATATTAAAATGTTATATTAAGTAATGCTTTCCATTAACAAGACAAGATCCAACTTGTGTAGTGCACAAAAGTCATAGGATTCAACTATAAGATCATGGAGCTATTAAAAAGTTCAACCTGTGTAAGTTTACAAAAGGCAGACAAATGAAGTACGTCAGTGTAAAATGTTGATGTCATCAAAAACATAAGTACCTAGGGACACTTTCAAGATTTAAAGTTTGACAACTTGAACTTGTAGCCTAAATAAGATGTCCATGGCTGGCCCAAGGACTGCCCCATGGATATTTATTGTTATTCATCCAATGACCTTGTATTAAGATATCCTGTTCTTTCAACCGCAGAGAATCGGCTTTTGCCCAATAAATTCAAGTGGTCCTACCAGTCCAATAGATTTGGTGGCTATCCACGAAATTGGAGCCGTGATCTATGGCACTGTAGCTCTTGCTGTCATTATTTATAGCTTCCAATTCAACCTTTTGTGCATGGGGCCCAGAGTTGTGTGACAATGTATGCACAACCCTTGCCTTGGTGACTGTGTTTAATTGTTGTTTGTGTTTTACCAATAGAGGGCGTCCTAACTCTTCTTTGTGGGGAAACAACCTTGACTGAGCCAACAACCACTGTATTGTGTGGAATATATTCTTGTGTGGAAAAATAAAGATGAAACACATTTAAAATCACAATTCAAGTAGATGGACATTTAATAGATATAGTTTTAACATTGTTTATTGTATCAAACATTGGAAATGGTTTTATGAATTGATAGACTGTGAATGGGCTTACTCTGGCCCATTGTGTTGGCCAAGACTAGAGGTTGAAACGGAGAGTCAATTTTTTCAAATTTACAGTCCACTAAAACATGGCCTATTTGAACGAATGTCAGTAGACAAGTTGAAAAAGGTTTTGATAGATCGGGCTATAGCATTCAACCACCTCACAATAAACACCATCTTGATAAAAACGAAAAGAACACAAAACATACTTGAATCAAATGCTGACGAAACAACTGACCAGCCAAACTAACAAATTTAAGAGTCCCGCACCATTGAATTTGTCGACCATCTCCCAAAATACACCGCAAAAAAAAGTGGCAACTCTTGGTGGCGCACTGAATCGGGAATCGCCCGTATTGAATAGAATTTTGTGCACTCATGGACCACCATTACTAGGCATGGCGGCATGCCTTATCTAGTTTTTATCAACACTTGCTCCATTATATAGCAGTTAACACTTATGGTCTTATAATCTGCTATTCACATTTACACCTTGTTACTCCATTCATTGATCAGGTGTTAATCTGATTGATCAGCTAAGGGATTAGGTCAGTAATTGACTGATAATGGAGTCAAGTTAACTGTTATGTGTTAAGTCCTACCCCCCCCCCCTCCCATTGACACACATTCTGGGCCTTCAGGCCATTGAGGGGTGTTGTGATGGATATACCAGTACCTGTAGCTCTGGTAGACGAATTGTTGGAAAGGAATTTAAAAGATGGTGGAAATGCTGATATTTTATAAGAAAATTTAAAGTTGTTTTCTTTATCCAGAGTTTCTGTCCCATTGTTTTCCTTTGAAGAAGGAATAAAAAAATCCCCATTTAGGCCTACCGGTACCCCCTCTACCCAAACACACGTCATGAAATATTTTCTTGTTAAAACATTTTAGTATCCATAAGATGATTTTTTTTTTTTTTTTTTTTTTTTTTTAATTTGAAAACATTTAGGTTTTTTCTTTGTTCCTAGCTTTTTGTGCAGGCCTTACAAAAACACCCAGGTACCGGTATGGCTGCATTAGAGCACAAATTGAGTTTCCTTCTGCAGGTGAACACATTTGACATAAGTGTGAATAGGCAAAAAAAAATAAGCGTTGTTCAACAAGAGAGCAAGGGAATCCCCAAAAGTCCCAACACCTGTCACCCTAAATTAATTAACTTCTTTCACTGCATATTTTGTGAATCATCGCCAGTGTTTATACCACATTCCTATTGCGCTTTAACTGCTTTGTAATCAGTTTATATACACAACGGAGCCTTTTCTCCTTGGGTCTTTGTGTTGGCATTGTTAGCGGAGTGTCAGTAACCAGATTTGTATATTTTGCCTCAGCGTGCTAAAAGCTGCCGGTGGCTATGCATTGTGCACCTGCGAAAAAAGCCGCTCATAATAGAGTCCCGGGACGTTGATAGTGTTTTCTGTTTCCAATGGATATGTCTGGTTGGATATCATGGCCTGAACGGAGAACGTTCATAATACATGTATGCCTTCAAGGAAAAGACGTCTGTTGCTCTTAAGACTTAAGCTTTCCTGTCACTAACCAGCGGGCAAATGAAGTCAGTTTGATTTTCCGGAATGCCATGCAGCAGTTTTGCACACAAGCTCATTGAAATACTGGAATCGCCGAGAACCATTGCCTTTTGTTTTGACTGTTCGCCAATCCATTGAATCTCGCTTTTTCTCAAAGAAATATGCTACATAATGTTCCATAGCAATTTACTAGCTTGCAATTTAAGGCTTTCTTTGAATATTTTTTTTCCCCCTAGCCTGGAGTTTTGGGCACCAACCTGTACCGGTACTTTCCAGGGACAATAAACAGTGTATTTTACTTGCCTGTAGCATATTCAACTTACAGACCCGTCAAGTGTCAAAGGCAACATTTGTTAGTCAAGCTGTCAGTTTGGAGTGTACCCAAAATAGAGCATAATGATTGATTCTCTTTTTCAATGCCGTGTATGGTTGGAAAGGTTGGGAATTTGGTACATATTCGTCTGTCTGTTCATTTCAATTGTTGCATTATGAGGAAGTGACGTTTCTCAAATATTAAATTCAAACATCATACAGACATTCATTTTGTATATATATGAATTCATTGCCCATCCATTTTTCAAGACATGTTTATGATGCACATAATTCGCTGAATTTTCTCATTTTTTTTTCGTACTGCATGACCTTGAGTTACAATCTCCACTTTTCTTTTCCAAAAAATATAGATGAATTGATAGTTTTGAAATTATGTATTCAAAAGTGAAGACAGACATCTCACTGGTGGGTCTTGAGATTAAGAAGATTAAACCCAAAAATAGCTAGACGGGTCATGCCCAGTTACTGGCTTCCTGATGACCCCGCATTGCCCTGCGCTCAGTTGCTGTTTCCCTTACGTAAACATTTATCCAACTTGGAGTGATCTGAAAACAGTTGATATTGGCTAACCGTCTGTGATTTACTAAGCCGTTGAAACAATTATTACTCCTTTCTAAACTTTTGTTTGTGAATTGAAAGTAGACATTTGACTAATGAACCCAATAGAAACGTTTGATATACTGCGGTTTAAAGTGATCAGGTACTGAAAATTTGCTGCATACATGTAACTAAAAAAAAAAGACAACTTAACACTTTAAGGACAAACGTTTTGGATGGAAGCAAACAATTTTCAAAGTTGTGTGCAGAATGGTTGACTGCTGACTTTCAAAGCCAGCGTATCCTATGACTCCCGTGTCGCTTGACCCGGCTATTATGAAGAGAAAAATCACTCTTCAACCGCAAAAGCAAATATGTTTACAGTCCTACTCCTAGTACACTCAGACCGCCTCGTGTTGATTCAGTCTTAGCTGCAATCTAGCTGGCTTTGATCCACGGTCTGATTAGCATGACAAACGACTCGGCCGTGCTCGTCAAAAGTCCATGTCTAAACTGGAGTGCATCATGGCGACTCTACAAACTCTATTGTTTCTGTGCTCTGATCCTCTACGCATCTCATTCCACTGAAACCAGTCAACAATGAGAAGTGGAGTTGTGTTATTGCGTATCGCTGTAGCAGCCAAGTTGTCCATGGAAGTTTGCGAGTGGTAGGATTTTGTGGATAAAAAAGTTTAATTATGGCGGTAATTCTATCCCATGGAGTCTGGTGGGGTATGGTGCATACAGTCAGCGTGGGGTAATGTTACTGAGTCATGGCTGCAGAGGATATGAAGAGTGGTACGGAGGGATGTTGTTATCCCACCAGAGAGGCTTCGGAAGGAGCAAGGAGTCATGGGGAAGATCAAGACGACTACTTGGCCATCTTTAAGCCGTTTATTGAGAAAGGAAAGGTGGGTTTATCCTTGGCAAAATTTCAAAATCAAGTATTGAAATGGTAATTTCAACACCTCTTTCCGTCCTTTTACCATGGAACTGCTGTACCGGTATTATAGATGTGAAGTTGGCTATGCGACTCCATTTCATGTAGTTTCTTGGTCCTTGAACTTGGTTTCACATACCCGGTATGTGGCGACAAAGAGCTGTTAAGCACTTGCCGCCGGCATAATTTTTGGCCCAAAACACCATTTTTGAAAAAAGGCAAGATCTACATGTACATGTATCAGCCAAATTTTAAATTTTAGTGCAACGCCACAAATACTGACACTTGAACAGTATTTGTACCATACCTCTCACCGTTACTTCATATTTTGGAACACCCTGAGGCCCCACCATGGAGCGATATTTGCTACGAATACAGGCCGTATACAACAGCCAAGTTCAAGATCAAAACATGGTATGTACAAAACCAATGGGAACCACTGGGGTACTCATGTCCACTGCCGGAGACTCAGGAAAAACTTGATGATTTACCCAGGTGTATATTGTCATCGTGTTTACAAGTGTCTTCCGGCATTAACTGGTTAAGGAATTGCAGAATAATGATAACAACAATTTTAAAATGATGTATTTAGATGTATTTTGTTACAAAGCATGCAACTTATCAGCAATGTTCCAAAATCAGCAGTATCACAAAACCATAGAGCCATCCCAATCCCAGTTACTGTTTTTTCTGCAGAAAGTCTTAGACTTTACAATGTGGCGATAGGAATGTGTGTTTTTTAGTACTTATTATTTAGAAGATTTAGAAGATTTCTTTGTGTGTTGCAGGCATTCCATTGGTTTGATAAACATTGACATTAATCAAACTCTCTTTTGAAATGTATTGATTTATCATGCACGAAGTCAGCATTCAGGAATGGATGCATTGGTCGGTTGTACTTTACCCCCAACTCCCTGCCATAGATCAACACCGAAACATTGCTCTGTCACCCACATTTTTTCCCCCCCAAATCTTTTGAAATACCGGTCTCTAATTTCCAACTATTTTTCATGAACTAGTGTGTTTGTTATCCAGCTTATTTGGTGTTGTGGTCATCGTTATTAGGCGGTATATGCTATCTCTTTTGATCATCATAACAACGCTAGATGGTTTGTTACTTGCTGGAGTGTATACTGCTTTAACCTTTGTGACTTGGCGCTCTATTAGAATCTTGCCAGTTGGTGGGCAGGCCTGGTATTGTTAAACTGATCATTGACATGAGATAAGAAGATTGATTTTTATGTGTTTTTATGATGATGGCATCCTGTTTTCAACGTTCCATAAAGTCATTTATTTCTTGGCAAAGTGTTCAAACAACAAAATGATTGGGTTGGGTGTGTACATGTATGGTAGAGCATGCCGCTGTTTCCATACTGCAGTTTTATTGAAAATAATGTTTTTGTTAAGTTCTCTTTGCAAACGATGTCACGCTTAAAATTATGTGTGCTTGCACATGTATGTATACATAGCCTTTCACCAAGGCCATCGTGGCTGAACTTGCCCGCATTCAAAGCGGCAAAACCGCGAAGCGACTGGAGATGGAGACCGCACATGCGAGTGGCGAAGCCACGAGGGCCTTTTCTAACTTGTCGAGAAATTCTTATGTTTTTCTTTATAATCTCGATTTTTTTTTTGCTACCTCAAAAATTCCAACCAATCATCAGACTTTTCGTGCGTGGGTGGCTACTACCCGGACGCGTCGACGCGCCCGGATGCTTGCACAAAATTTAAAAACAAAAAATGCGAGTCTACCGGTATTTTTCCACGAGATCGTGATCGCGTAATTTTTCTTACATTATCTTATTTTAACTTTACTTATAAAAGTATTTCAAGAAATTATTTGAGTGTATGAAATTATTTTTCATCTGACCTTACAGTTATTTGCTCTTACATTTTCCTTACTCACCCTTCTTTTAAAAATGGAAGTGACAAGGCAAAATCCGTGTTGTGATTGGTTAACCTTTAGCACTCTTCTTATTTGCATAAAAACTATGAATAATTCAACAAAATCAAGTTGGGAAAGGCCTCATGGCTTTGCCACTCATGCGTGCTGACTTAATCTTTGCTCCAGTCGCTTCGGGTCTTCGCAACTAATGTATACAGGGTGGTGCAAAAAGAAGGAAACCTACATGTACATGTACTTCTAACAGGAATTTTAACTTCTTACTTACATTGTAACTTATTTGAACTTTTTTATTTTATGATGTGGTAAAGTATAGCTCTTCAACCATGTGGTGAAAAAAATCAGTTTAAAAATCGCAAGAATAGTGTTATTATGCTAAATTTGACTACAAGTCACCTAAATCACTGTTGTTAGCGTGTAAGTCTAGTGTAGTGCTGTTTTGTCTTCAAATCAAGCTCCGAAGCTGAGACAAGCGTACGGAATATAGCCGTCCATGGAACTATATCTCAGAGACAAAATTCTCGTATTCATGGCAAAGTACCGTAACCTGTACTCATGGCAATTCACGTGTACTCATGGCAAGGTGCTCGTACTCCAGAAGAAAATTCTGATTCTGAAGAAACCCATGGAATCAGGTGGGGACTGAAAACCCAATCCACATGTGGACCAGGGCAGGAATCGAACCCGGGCCATAGAGGTGGAAGGCAAGGAAAGAATGTTTGCTGGGCCCACTTGGAAGTTTCAAAGACGGTAAAACATTATTTTCAACTTGTTTTCAGGACTTTAAATAAATGTCATCCTATTTGATAAGCAGCAATTTTACTACAGTATGAAAACTATTTATGTATGTGAACTTGTGAAGTTTTTTCTCCGTTCGCATTTTTTTAACTGAAGGTTATCTTAGGGTTAGGAGACCTTAAGCTTATCTCCAGTTTATCAGATTGAATACTCTGTGCAGTATGTGTAGTCTCTCCCATCATTGGGAAGTTTTGATTAATTATAACAGTAAACAATGCAATGATGCTTGTCCTGATTTTAATATCTTTGTAATGGGGTCAGGGTCCAAAACTAAAATCAGTTCTTTTTTACAATTTCCACTTTTTAACGAAAAAACTTATCGTCATTCTTATGATGGGTTCTATTTTTTCTGTAACCACAAAGAGGCCACTTCTGATATGATTCTCCACTTTTTTAGCCATTAATAACAAAATAATGGACTTGAAATTAGAGTGACTTAGGCCTATATCTCTTTATTGTTAGGTATTCTTGAAAAGTGGGTTATGTTGATAGGAAAATTGATGAGATCTAAAAGACTTAAAAGGCAAAACAAATCAAGAATCCAAGGTGAATTTAGCGATATATTTCACATAATTTGTTGCACAATAGGTGTCAGTTTTTCATATTATTATGATTAGACAATGCAGAGAACACAGGGAATTGATTAATATTTTGTTCAGTTTTAAATGTTAAACAGTTGAAACAAATATAGGTCTAAATGTTAAACATAATACAAGTAATTGGGCCAGCAACATTGATTTTCAAAGACAATACAACATGTACACATATTAATATTAAATTTTGGGCTTTCGGGATAGGCAGTGTAATCTGAGGGCTTGCGAGAAAAATTCACAAGCTTGCTCAGGTGGGACTCGAACCCATGACCTCCTGCTTTCTAGTGCAGAAGTCTTACCACTCGACCACCAAGCTTGCTGGGGCCAGCTGGCTGGTTGGAATCTAAATTACAGTGTTTATAAAAATACGTCGGCAAAGGCCAAACTCAGCAATGAATTTGAATCTCCCCGATGCAAATGTTATCCTTTGAATACATATTTACAACCTTTATGTCAAAAAAAATCTAAATTTAAAGACTTACGGACTAACATAAGATCAACAGACTAACATAAGATCAACAGGGAAAGGGTTACAGGAGTGAGATGATACACTGGATAATTTGCACCTTGTCCCTGACATTCGGTCCTATTCAGCATGTAAGCCACACACTCAAGGGTTACCAAGTTTCACGCTGCTTGCAAAACAACCTATTGTTTTGTTCTTGCTACACAGTGAGGCTTACAACATGTACCTTTCACCTTAACCCCATAACCCACTACATACGTAGATACTTAATGTTGGGCATCATGAGTGGATGACAAATAATGATAGCATAGATGTTACTCTGTTCCCATTTTGTGCATTGTTGTGTCCCATTTCTGCTTTGATCTTTCGATGATGCTTGCGGTGTGCAGTGGATTCATTTGCTGCATGGCTTATTATTTGTCTGTGGACGAGTATAATTTCAGACACTTAATAATAAAATAATCCACAGTAAGGGGGATAGGTACATGTATTGTAGGAAAGGGCGTGCCGAATTAAACATGTCGAGGTTGTAGCACACATGTGTTTGAAGAGCATTTCAAACAGAAACATGTGACTGGAATGACGACTAGAGCTCCATCGGTTTGATTAACCCGATTACCCGAACTCCCCAGCCTAATTTACTAGGAACCATACCCATTCTGGCAAATTCCAATGCCCACATGGGAAATTGCCACACACACACTGTTGGACTTAGTTTCCGGAGGTACCGGTACATGTGTATGCCAACCCCAGTGTAAAAGACCATCAGTTTAGGGGTACTGTACCTATCCCAACAGATTTAAACAAAATCTGCTGTTGAACTTTGATGGGTTGAGTTAGGTTAGGGTTAGTGTAATTATGTGAAAAGCAGCAAGTTGTGTGAACATTCCTATTCTATTTCCTAATAATCTTCCCAAATATTATCAATTCGAGCCCACATGGGTGCATTCTCTCGAACATAAACCCTCAACTCCCACTCTGATCAAGCCAACACTCGGTCATATTTGCAGGTTGTAATCCCTTAAACATAGTGTTTGGACAGCCTCCCATGCAGTAAGGTGGGCGGATTAACAGGCAATATTGTGTTTGTTTGCTGAGGTTGTGCATGCAAAATCTGCCAAGGATGAAAACAGGGTTACTGTATTTATTCAGTCACTCAAAGCACACAAAAATGTAGTCACATTGTTGAATAACATGTGTAGACCTATTTA